TGTATTACCTTGCATCCCCACTGCCATGAAAGTGCCTGAGCTCTGGAGTGGAGCTGATGATGTCATTGATAAACTGATGTGGGGCGGGCTTTCCTGAGATTTCAATCGCATTTTCTTTTTTGGGAAATACATCTTCCAAACAGGGGGGACCAGAAAGTGAATGGGGTCTTTGAATCATCTGCAATAGAAAAGATGGAAATTAACAGCTACTCCTCCACAAAAGCAGTGTGTTACAATTTATATATTATGTAGTTAAAATGTGTAAAGTGAGAATATGTTTACCTTTCCATTCATACTGGCTTCTGATGAGTTGGATGAACATTCAGCATTCTTCAGACGAACTTGATTCCTAAAAGCAACATGCAGTGTCACATAGTCAAGAAAAGTCCTATCAGTCACTATCAATCTTTGCTTCATTCTTACAATTTGCACCACTTTCTGGCAGCTCCTCCAGGGCAAACACTGATATTATATTTAAATAAAAAACTCAAAGATTAGAAGAGCTAAACCTTTGCATAAAAGACTAGTTTACCAACAAAAAACATGGGAAATCGACTAATTTGTCAAAAAGTTGAACTGAAAAACAAAACCTAATTTAGATTTGCAAAATGGTCACATACTGCCGTTTCTCAGTTACTAACACTGTACATCTTGGTAAAGAGATACTGCTTCACGACTGCTCTGTTGTGCAACTGTCAAGGTAAAGTTCAGAAAGTGATTTATTTTCATTAGGTTGTTAGTTTGGCCTTCAATAAGCTGCTGTCATGGAATACTTTGAGCCTTGCTGTGAGACACTATCAACAGTAACGTGCTTAACAAGAACAACCTTAAAGGAGAATCTCTCTCAGAATCCTTTCTCTTTTCCAAAAGGTCCCGATATGTGTGAGCCAGCTAAAACAGAAAACATCAGTAACATGTAAGAAACAAAGAAATGACAACAAAAAACAAATATTAGAGAAGAGTGTTCCAAAGCACCATTTGTGTGTTGCCTTACATTATTTAAACAAATGTTGATATACAAATGACCATTTTGGGGTATTCCTTTTAGAAGTTATTTCGGGGTAATAAAAGAGACAGCAGTATCTGACTGACCTTGTTGTGTGTATTCTTCAAAGTGTTCAATTCTCTATTCAGATTAGCTTTTTGCTCCTCCAGGGCCACCACTGGAAGACATAACAAGCAGCTTCAGAGTGAATATCTACTGATTCAGTAACACCGAAAGGTTTGAAGTAGAAATTCTTCTTGTCATGAAATAAACAAAACATTTCAATTTAAAATACATGGTCCTTATAACATTTCTAACTTTTAATTGTTTTATATTACATTTTTCACTTACACTGATCGGCTTGCCCTCTTGCTTTCTTCTCTAGCTCTCTCTCTCGCCGCTCTCTCTCCTTTTCCCTCCCCCTTATGGCTCTCCTCTCTTGCTCAAATTGGTCATCCAGCTCCAGGTACCTCTAAAGAAAAAGAAATGCTTTTAAAGCTCTGAGCACAGACAACCTCTTATTTTCAAAGCTTATAAAAAAAGAAATTGTAATTATCGTTTACATTAAAACTTTCAAATCTCCCATCAGTCCCCACCTCTTGACTTTCTTTCCTGAGTGCTTTCTCTGCTTGGTATCTGTCCAGTAGCTCTTCTCTCTCAGCCTTCTCCCTCTCCGCCTCCTCCTCCCGGTCTCTCAGCTGGGCTTTACAGCCGGCCAGCCCCTCCAGGACCCACACAAATATGGGGACCAGCGACTCCACCACACTTTCTCCATGGGTCTCAATAACCATCTGTGATGGGGCAAAGCAGCAGAGAGGTAAACCATTGAAACATTTCAATTGTTTTCCTAAGAGAATGGGTCTTATTTACCACTTACTTATATTGAGATAATGTGTTTTTTTCTTAAATTGAAAGTCTGTCAGACTCATGACTAGCCACAGATTAATTGGCCAGTTGATCCTAATAAGCATTTTACTCCAGCCAAAGGCCATAAAAGGGCTATGCACACGTCCAAAACGTTGCCAAAAACGCTTAAACAAACAACTAAAATGGACAGCAAATGTAAAATAATCTAGTAGTTTTGAATTTGAGGTACCCCAGCATGAAGTGCATCAAAGGTTGCATCCATATTAGGTAGCGTATATTATTATCTTACCCAAGAAGAACTGCAAAATAAGAAATAATTGGTCAATGTCAACATCTTTGTGAGTAAATGGGTTTAAAAAAGAAACATATTTAAAATAACGGTTGGTAAATGAGGCCCATTTTTGGTTTAGAAAGGAGAAAAAAGCGTTGTAGCTGCTTTACCTGTAGCTCTGAATACAGTTTTCCTGCCTCTTCACTCACAATGTTGGGGTCCAGCTCCACCTCCCCTGACCCGCACAGCACTCTCTCACTGTACTCCATCAGACTATTAGTTTAATCAGCCTGAATTACCTGCCCAAACGGTTCCCCCTCCTCAACAGGAGGTCAATTATTTTAGAAGTCTATTAGCCAATTATGTTGCTGTCCTGACTACACTTTCTGACCGACTCCTACAACTAGTTTATCTGGCTTTCTAACATTTCTGCTAACCCCAGGACCTTCCATCCTTTATGACTTAATGTTTTGTTTGTCCTTGACAAGGGAAAGCATCATTTTAGACTGCATTTAACTATTCGTTCTGTACTGTGAAGCTTGTCTGATGTCAGGGGAGTTTTAGAGTCCATCCTGAGAAAGAAAAGAAGAAAAGATTATGAAATATAAAAGGAATGGATAAACTGCCGCTAAGTCGCAAAAGGACAGTCGACTGTTTTGTGCAACAAGCAAGCTTAGACATGCATTTTTTTCATTTTTCCAAAGAATTACCATAAGCCTATTAATTTTTTAACATGGCCATGTGGTTTTCTGCTATTATAATCTGTGACTGACATCGTTTGTTTAACAGCAAACAAAATACAAAGTGACTGCTCAGTAAGGATGAAATTAAAATGAATCTGGCTGGTTTTACACCACAGTTTCAATTACTCACAATTCATGGCAAGACTGATATATATTTGAAGGTAACAAAAGCAGACACAACTTAATTGTATAAAGTGATATTGGGTGAATACATTTGAAAACAATTCAGCAATGACTTTGATGAAAACATAACGTTCTGCTTTATCTGTCTTGTGTGATAGTAAACTGAATGTTTGAATTTTTTCTTGAAAACTGACTTAAATTATTAATCGATTATAAAATGAGTTGCAGATAATGTCCTGTTATAACTGTAACAAGCACTATCAAGTTGTCCCATGAAGCTTCAGGGGTTGTGTTGGGATTTGTTTGACTATAGAATATAAAATACCTGCCAGTTTAACTGTAACTGAGGTGCAGGCATAATAAACATATGTATTTGTTAAGGCATCTAATGAAAGGATGTAGCTCTTAAGTTGCATGTAGATCATTAATAGTATTTTTATGGTTTATGCTTTTTGGCTAAAGAGTCTCGTTGATGTACTGTGGCATTTAATCTACTGACACAATAGGAGTATTCTGTTAGATCTTTATGTATCTTTAATAAAGATTGTGTAATGTGTTGCACAGCAGAGACACACCAAACGACAGCCTGTGTCTCTGTGTGTTTATAACTTTATGTGCCACAAATAGCCCACAAAAGTTCAAATCTAAATTGAAATACTGAAAATAGCTACAAGTAGTGTATGCAACGATAATTTAGCAAGTGAGCCTTCGTATTAATTAGGCTAAGATAAATGAAAACCATGGTAAAGGACACACTTGAGTTGACATACTGTATAAATAAGTAACATGACTGACAGTGGACACCTTGAGAGATATCTGGAAGAAAGATTACAATGCTGTAACTTAAAGAAAGAGCCGAGTTGTCGCTATGCTCGGCTGCTGTTTTACAAACTCACCCTCTCGGTTTAATATTTCACAACGATCATGTCAGTGCACCAAAATAATGAAAAGCCAGTCGTTTTTTCTTCGGGTCCGATATCAATTACACATAAACGAGTTTGGAGAAGGAGATGTTGTTAGATTCTGACTTGCTTGTACATGTCCTCACTCCGACCAATCAGAGCGCTGCATTTGTCAGCAGCAACCAATGGGCGGGAAGAAGAGGCGGGACGTGGGCTGTTCTGTTTTCAGAAGGAGAAGAAAAGTTTCCTGAAACTTGAACGGAGACACGTGACCAGCGGGATGTCAGGTGATCTACTAATGCATAACTCTGATACCTGTCGAAATACCTCACATACCTGAAAACATTATGTTCTCTTTTCTCATGTCATTCATAAGAACAATAGTTTATAGTTAATGATGTTTGTATTTCGAGCACTGTAGGTTATTCAGGTGTCGGGTCTTTATTGGCTTACATAAAATAATAGCCATCAAAAAAAGTTTGGACAAGGGGTCGAGATATGACAACTTTGAGATGCACAAGAATAAAATAACATGAAGGCATATTGTAAAAGCAAAGAGGGGATTTGAATGTATCTACAGTTCGTTTTGATTCCAGCAGATGGAGGTATGAACACATTTCCACCTCTGGGTCTTCTCTCTGCTCTCTTTTTGGTTTCTGTTATTTAATATTGCTGGTTTCTGTTTTGTTGGTCTAGACTTGGCAGCCCTCTAACATATGAATCAGTCCTGCTTTTGTGACATTACTCCTTTATATCTTCCTCTCTGGACTGTATTATTAATTATAATAACGTTACGACCTGAACCTACTATGTTTTCCACATTCACCTTTACAAATATTTGTATGAGACAGCTAAGCTTTTGCAGCTACACAGTAGAAAACAAACCATAACACTAGAGAAAAATAAACATAATTGTCCTGCCATGTCAGATTAATGTTTAAACAATATTTTACCACTCTTTTGCAATTTTTCACAATTTCAAAAGTGAAGCCTTAAATGGCCAAATCAACCTCTACAGAAAGGTAAACACCTTTCTGTAGAGGTTGATTTGCTCACTTTATATGCACCCACATTTTGTCTCTCCATCTCTGTTCCACAAAAAAAAAACATTAACATGTACTCCATTTATTACATACTCAACATGGTCCGCCTACATACAGTACATGTAAATTGCAGCATAGACAACAAAAGAAAACACAGACGTCAATAAAAAACAGTGTAGTGGAAAGGAGTTGGCTAATACTTAGTGCTATGCTACTATATAGAGTAGTGCTGCTGAGTGTGACTGCTGTTTCCAATGGGTAAAGGGAAACATACTGAAGTAGCTCAACCTATTTTTAAATACAAAGATATAAATTATGATTTGATTACCAAAATACATACGTCACCTTTAAAACATAATCACGTTATTAAAATGTCTAAAAGTAGTTACAAAGCTAGCATATAGTTAGCTAGGAGTAGTATAAATGAAATAATTGCTAAAAGTAATGGATAAACATTCAGCTCCCACCATTGCTATGACACTTAAAAAGAATCCAGTTTGAAATTGGTTCAAATGAACACAATTTGAACATCAAAGGTATTGTAGATGAAGGGGTGAGTTCACCTGACCTTGGGGGTTATGTCTGACAACAAAGGTTGGGACCCACTAAATTACAGTCAGATTTGTGTGCAGATTTTTCATGGATTTCTCTTGTATCCTGTCAATAATTCTTAATTAAACTGTGACTTTTTTAATTACCCTCCCACTCTCTACAAGAACCTCTTTTCCATCCTCTCTCTCCGCTCTTGTGTTCTCTCTCTTCTTTTTTGTCAGGAGATAAAATACCACCACACCTCCCACCGCCACGAAACTGAGGGCCAGAATCACAAATCCCAGCCCCAGTAAGTGAGACGTTCCTCCCTTAGAGAGGTTCAGTTGGTCCCAAATCCCCACCGCCACACAACTGAAGCCGATCAGAGTTCCCCAAAAACCAAAGGCCAGCATGCAGGATCCACAAGACACCTCCATGCCGCCGGTCACCACGGTGATGCCCGCCACTGACACAACCCCTCCTGGTAAGGTCACCGTCTCAGATTTAGGGTCGTAGCTGACAGTAGAGGTGACATCGGATAGAGTTGAAGGATCAAGCGTTTTCATCTTGGTTGTCATGGTTGGTTTTAGTTCCTTTTTTCAGATGTCCCAAAGTGATTTTGAATGCAGCTTCTTTATTCTCACTCCTATAACATGAAACATAGTTTGAAAAACACTAAGGATCCAGATTTCCTTATATGATTTACTTGTGTAGCTTTACGTTTCGAGACACATCTTTAAACTAGGCCTCCTTCCAACTAAGCTGTTATGTTTACGTCCAGGACATTTTAAAAACATGTCATTTTATTCGTCTTGCATAATTTACACACTCGAGAAAATACAGCCTTTTTATATTTGGTACCTTTGGGGTCTCCATTTCAACTTAAAATAAAGGTATTTGGGTCTGACAGCATAATGATTGATTGGGACAGGATATACAAAAAAACTGAATAATAATAATGTTTTATCATTAGTCATTTAAATGGCAAGCGCCAGATATAACTCTAAGTTTATATACAAATATAGTTGGCATCTGTTTTCTCTGAAGATAAAACACTGCTTGATAACTATACTGCTACTCGGTTTAGAAAACTGCTTAAGCCATACTCATGGACAATACAATTGTCTCATGCAAACATATTGAAAACTAAATTCAAAATTAAAACCAATATATTTTTTACCATAGATACATATCTTTTTTAAATGAAAAAGTAGGAACCTTGCTTACACCAGAAATAAAGACGGATTACTAGTAATTGCAAAGAAACTATGTTATTATCAATAACTTTATAGACTAAAACATTGTCTTGTATAAAAATGAAAGCCTTGCTTACCTCAGTTTTGAATCAGGGACTCAGATCTCAGGGGAAATTGAATTAGGTGAAGGTCCTTTAAATTCATAGACGTGATTTGTTTTTGTCCATGAATGTAAGTGATTTCAGTGAAAGCCTGAAAATGCTGCTGACTTTCTCTCTGGACAATGGGTGGAGAAATGTGAGCGGGGGCCCAGAGAGCTGTTACCTTTATCATATACGTCACAACCTGAGGCCTCACAAGATGGTGGGCACAATTGTCAAGATTGTTGTCACTGTTTGTTTGTTCCTCTCTTTCCTTGTGTTCAGTAGGAAGCTCTTGTCTGTCATTAAGCATCATTATAACCCATTACCAGATATTTATCTAAGAACAACTCCCTTCCTCTTTTCCTCTCTCCTTCAGTCTTAGGATTTGAGTCGGGTCCCACCAAGGCATTGTTTGGGCTGAGAGCGGATTTTTCTTTTTCAGCATTTTCCTGTTAGACATTCCCATTTCTGTGGTCATTGGTAGCAAGTTGTATAGTTTTTCATCTGTGCTTTTACTACATTGAGATGAGTATTTTAGTATTCAACCTTATAACTAGCTTGCAATATCATTGAGATTCAATATTATTGAGCGTTTACTAAAGTTTTACGAGGAAAAGTTGAAATCCAGGGTTTAAAAAACATCCATAAACGTATATTATTATTTTTATTTTTTTTGTACAAATATACCAAGTGCTTAACACGGGTGAATAACTGTGCCTGATCTCATAACCCTGAGCAAGGCAGATTTACAGTATATATGTCAGTGATGATGTAGAGGTGGATCGCAGGTCTAGGGTATAACGCAGGTGAAGATTGATGTCGCCACATAATTGGCTGTAATGCTGCCCAGCCAGCTGAAATGTTGCCAATTGCCAGTCATTGACCTAATTGCAGATATCTCTAGCTGTGTTTACTGTCAATAAACGTATATCTGTTGATGCACTATTTAAAGGTCCCCTATTATACTGTTTGTCATCAATATATTATAGGTCTCAGATATATACAAACATGTCTCTGAAGTGTTTGCCTCCAAATACCAAACAGATCATGCATTGTAGCATCCCATAATCCCCTCTGTTTCAGCCCTGTTTCAAAAGTGCTGATTCTGTGTCTGTTACTTTAGATGAAAATAAGGAGCCCCTCCCCACGCCCCTCTGAGAGATTTGTTTAAAAAAAAACAATGGTGCTCTAGGAGGAGATTCAGGTGATAAGGTGGGGGGGTGTTACCTTGGTTGGTGATTGGTTAATGGTTACACAAGCCAAAAAATCATAAAGTGGCCAAAATCTGATCAGCTCATTTTCAGGTTTTTATATAAATGGATCAGGACAAAAAGTGAGCGAATATTTTTTCCTGAAACTTCCAGAGTCTCTTTCCACAGGGGGGACACATGTTTATGTATAAAAGACATGAAAAAGTGGATTTTGAATAATAGGTGACCTTTAAAGTATTATATGTTACTGCCTGCTAAGTAAATATATATCCTATTTATTGTTGCAATACATTTGTGCGTTAAAAAATTCATAATTTCTTTACTAAAAAAGTGTAATTGTTGTGCTTAGATGCTATAGTTTGTGCTTAGATATCCACTTGATATGAACCCTCACCTTCACCACAGGAAGAATAACATTTCCAAATGGACCTCAAATCCCTACTAGCGCCAGCTCTAGCAATTAGTCGAGTCTAGGGTACAGGTCAGGTGTCAGAGAGTGACGAATTGGGAAAGCACTGAAGGGATGATGATGATGCTGCTAATTGGCTAAGGGTTGGATTGGGTGGGACGCAGCGGGTCAGGGTAATCCAATAGATGGACTCATGAGCATATTTATGGAGCAAAGACCATCCTGCTGCATAAATAAGACATGAAAGATAATCATACAGTGTTCAAAACTGAACAAATTTAAGCAAGTCAAGATAATTATTTCAGTCTATTCAAAGTATACACAAAGGAAATAGATTCCTGTAGGGAGATGGCTGTGATGACTAGGATGCAACCAGATAGGCCCAAAGGACTGGAACTGAGGAAATGGGTAGAAATGCTGAAATCAGTAAAAATGAAGACAAATGAAAGAGTATGAATGTTTGTGTCAGTTAGTTTGAATAACAGGAAGCATTTGGTGGGGAAAAATACACTTTGTGGCTGGAAAATTCAAATCCAGGACCAAGACAGGTTTAAAAGAAGGACAATATGGCGGCCAAAAAGCAAAAACACAATTATGCAGTATATTACACTTTTGTATTAAGAAAAGGCAGGCACAACTTTTAAACAATCTGCCCAGTAAAACCCAGGTTAGAGACAAAAATGCATTTTATAGGTCATCCCTGACGCTTGGATGGAGGTAATTTACAATGCCTTTAGTGATGTGGATGTGAGGGGCGTAGGTGGGATTTAAAGTGAGGGGGAGTTAAACTGCCTGGACAGATGGTAGTCTGGATTAGGTTTCAGTAGTCAACTAAACCCATTGAAAGGCCACTACAGAAAAAAGCAGACATACAGTGAATGAACTAATGCTAGCTTTAAAAAACAAACAAACACCTGGAGCGAATTTTCAACATGTCTGCTAATTTTCTGGTCAGTTTATAGAAGTAATGTTTAAGTTTCTAGCTTCTTAAATACTTCTCAATTCATCAAAAGGGTTGTAAGCACAATGAAACAGTGAAATGCTTAAAATAAATAAAGATTAGTATCTAAGTAAAGTAAAACCATAAACTTCTTAGACGGGAGGCATACCTCAGAAATCATAATATTCATAAATAATAAACAAAGGATTAAACTCAACAATCTCATATACTGTAGATCTTTCTAGACTAAGAGACCCAATAAAGAAAAGTATGGCTCAGCCACCTTAAATCCTGCATTAACAGAATTAACCCTCTCGCCCATGGGAGGCGTGCGTTCCCCCTGCCCTCCTTATCTCTTACTGTCTTACTTGTTGAGATACTCAAATCTTCAGCCATCATCTGCCGAAACAACACACAGGTGAGCTTTCCCTACAATCCTCACTATGCTATTTATTGATACGGAAGTTTAATCTATTAAACTAATTTCATTAGTGGACTTTACCATATGCGGTTTTTTTTTCTCTGTTCTCTTTGGCCTCTAACATCAACAGCAGAGGTCAAGCCAGAGGAGAAATAGTTGAAACAAAGGAGAAGTCCAAGTGGCACAGGAGAAATAAAACTCCAGTGGCAAATATTTGTCAGTGAGAACTGACCCTGAAAAACTACCATGGGAAATTCAACCAGTAGCGCATTATCGAAGGAGATCCTGAAGGACCTGAAGCTCACCACACACTTCACTGAGGATGAGATCTCCCAGTGGTACGAGAACTTTCAGACGCAGTGCCCGACAGGACGCATTACACCAGAAGAGTTTGAGCAGATCTACGCCCGCTTCTTCCCTGACAGCGATGCAAAGAGCTACGCACGACATGTGTTTCGCTCCTTTGACACAAACGACGATGGCACCTTGGACTTCAAGGAGTACATCATCGCACTGCACATGACTTCCACTGGGGAGCCGGCCAGGAAACTGGAGTGGGCCTTCTCGCTGTTTGACGTGGACAAGAACGGATACATCAACAAGACAGAAGTGACAGAGATCTGCCAGGTGAGGGGGAACATGCAGTGGGATGTTGCCTTTTCTAAATATTCATCTCATCTGTTGGAGAGTAGTTCCAACTATGTTGACAAGGAGTGCTAAAGAGAGAAATGTTATTTAATTTGACCATAATGTTCACCTTTATTGCTGCTACAAGAGAATGATATCAGACATTTAAGCTGTTTCGTTGCACAAGGTCTTCAGGGAAATGTCTTATTCAGTTGTCAGCGACAACAGAAAGACCAAACAAGAGGATTACTTGACATACAATCTAATACAATAATCCTGTGGTCTATACTACCTTTTAAGTTTACAATGTTTAGTTCTCTTTAACTTTTATGCTGGTGAGGCGTATTTTTTAACTCTGGTCATTTTATTTAAAACGTTTTGGAAATGTATATTTGGTTGCGTCTTATTGTCAAGTATTCCTGGTAGATCCTATAATATGAATTGCTATTTTTTGGAAAATTACCTTCCTTTTTATAGTATGTAGGTCTCAGTACTAATTGCCAGCCCATTTAGAGTGTCTATTTGAGCCTGATAATCTCTGTGATTATGAAGGCAATCCTATTCTTAAACAAGACTACCGTACTCATGTATTGCTTTTCCTAAAGAGGGACTGCTCGTCACCCCTGGGTCTAATCCACGTTCCTTTGATTCATGAGGTTGCCACTTTGAACTGTTTGATTTATTTATATATAATAATTACAGTAAAATAGTTGTTACCCTTTGTTTTCATAAATTCAAAACTCAGTCTTATGATGATTAAGTTTCTTACCTTAAGATAAATGTTTTAGTATGGTAAGAGGTTTAAACAGATCAGACGAGTATCCAGTTGGCAATAATAATGTGATTTAAATCCTGGCCAACTGGTCAGACTCCAATTGCATCACGTTTACAACCACTGCACCAACAAGCTACGTTTTATACCAACACTGACAAAAGTTCAACGGCCTACAATAGAATTATATACGTTGTGAAGAGGTTCGCAATAAACAGATCTGCAACATGCTTAGAAAATAACAATACTATTACAGAAAGATAATCCATTGATATTTGTTTTCATTGGTAGGTTTAAAGTGTGAAACAAGTGAGTGAGGAAGGCAGGATTTGTCACTCATTTTATTTGGTTTAGTCTACTATACTACACTAATATCATAGATTATTTTAGGAGAGAGTCAAAATACATTGTATTTTTAAGGCAATGTCAGAAATATTCAGAGGCAAAGGGCAAATCTGCCAAATCGTAGGTATTTTTCCCCATCAACACAATCAAAGTCTGTTCTTGTGTATGTAAATGACTCCAAATTATAATGCCAATTTATTCAAACTGTCCCTTTTAAATTGTTTTTCTCTACCTTGATTGAAAGTATGCTACTTGATACAGATCTGATTGAATTATCTATAAGTGACCAGTAACTGATTGTCATCTGTGAGCCCACTTTGTGAACTATTCTGTAAAATGGAGGGACAGTACAGCGAGAGAAGAGATGTCATCATGGTGTTTGGCCTGTGGCCTGAGTCTTGGCACTAATCCATGTTAATCTAAGTCTCTTAAATGTGGGAGATGAGTGCTTCAAGTGCTTCAAGGCCTTTAAATGGGACACACTTAAAGACCTGAACATAAAATGCACAGTCATTTACAAGTTATTTACAATCTGCGGGAATCTAGGTGGCATTTCCCTGAGGAATTACACTCCTGCTTTAGGTAGTTTAATTTATCGTGTATAAAATATCCTACATGGGTCTCCAGGATTGCTTTTTCAGCTGCAGCTGCCACATAATTGGCTTGCACATGTTTGTTTTATTTTCTGTGTGGACTTCCGTACATTATTTGTTTGAGAGAAATGAGGCAGCATTATCACCAATCTTTTACCCAACCCCCTCTCAGGCCATATTTAAGCTGATCCCCAAGGAGGAGCAGGCCAAGCTACCAGAGGATGAGAACACACCAGAGAAGAGAGCCAACAAGCTGTGGGCTTACTTCGAAAAGAAAGACAACGGTAAAGAAAACAACAAACGTGTCTATGCATTGTGCCCCCGTGGTTCATGACATCTGTTCTTACCCCGGCCTGTGTATGTTAGCAAAAGATGAACTCAGTGTAAGCTCTTAGTACCTTTCCTCAACAACTGTTCTTACATCCGGTACTGAAGATTACAGATGTTTGGCTTAACAATAATACAAGCAGTACATCCACCTGAGGGCACTTCCCCCCCCCCCAGTTACAGCATCACATGTGTCATGCAAGCTTTACTATGCTAGCATTAACCTTAAATTGACTCCACTGCCTTGCATGCTACTGTCATACATGCATGCGTACACACACACACACACACACACACACACACACACACACACACACACACACACACACACACACACACACACACACACACACACACACACACACACACACACACACACACACACACACACACACACACACACACACACACACACACACACACACACACAGGAGATAATCAGGATTTCTTAGATAAGATACAGATGTATAATTCAACCTCATCTTTACCCCTAACTCCTTAATGTATAATCTTTTTTACCATTTTCTCCTGCTTTCTTTTCCCCCTCACAGAGCGACTGGCTGAGGGAGAATTCATCAAGGGGGTGATTGAAAATGAGAATGCAATGCGTCTTATCCACTATGAGCCACCGAAGGAATAAAGTCATAACCATTTAATTCCCTCTCGTTAAAGTCTTTCAAACTCTTTTCCTCCTTGCTCTTGGATCCACTCCACCCCTCTGTGTAAATGCTCTTCCTGCTAAATATTGGTTGCAACTAATGTTTCAGTAAGTTTTGTTTATGTCAGATTGTTTTGCTAATGTTTGTCCTTTAATTGATATAATATTGAAGCTAAAAGAGGCCAATTAAGGCGTAGCGTTTAACATTTCTGCACAGGTAAAAAATAAGCTTTCTTGCTACTTCTTTTGTATAATAATAAACAATTCATAAGTATCATACTCGATAGGTAGCTTATTCAAGTTTTTTTTACAGAACTGGAAATGTCTACAAAAGGTTGTAGCTCTAACGTGTTGTACTGAATTCACTGTACAATAAATACATTAAAGGTTTTCTCATAAATCTGTGCTTAAAAATCGAGTTATTTGTCTCCCCCAGTAAACAGTAAATTCTTCATTGACCTAGAAACACACTGCATAATATGCTATAAAAAAATGGCTTTAAATTCTCAATTTTGTTGATCCCAGACAGTAAAGCCAGTGCTGTACCACACGTTAAACCGACTAAGGAACATATTGATGCATTTATTTAGAAATTGTTGCCTGTATAAATGTACATTCAACACAATTATTTCCCTGAAAGTGTGATGTTTCCATGGTGCAGAATTTTGTGTGCGGGTGTGTGCCAGCCTGCATTTCTTTCCAACTCCCCCCGACAACCTGCTCCCCCTCCACCTCTCCATCCCTTCACATGCTTCCCTCCTCCTTTCCATCCAACTCGGGATTACTGGTTTACACATAATCTTCTGTTCAACATCAGAGAGCAGACTTTTCAAAAGCTCTGTAATCTTTCTATCGCTATGTGTCTATCGTATGTATTTGTCTGTGCATCTGCAGAGAAACTGTGTTTGATGTAGCTTCTGGTATGCGTCCATTACATCTAAAGTTTGTCACAAGAGACAGAGGAGATTGAAAAAGGAAACATGTTGAATGTCCCACTCAGATAAATGAGATTATATTGTATATTTACTATGAATTACAGGATGATCTTTTCAACAGGAGAAGAAATCTGTCCTGTCTACACCTGATACATTGCGAGTTGATAAATAACCAATAAAACAATATAAACATGTATATGCCTTTGCAAATACAGACACACATTTACTTTTCTACCATGAGGCACTGAGAAAAACCCAGAAACAATCTTGCATGTCAGTGTGACACACAGTTGTAGTCTTTACAGTTTCATTATGCATAGATTTCCCCGGCCTTCAAACGCAAAATGTGTGTCCCAACCTCACTGGAAAATGGAAGAAGAAGAAAAGAAAAACTGAATCTGTTTGCTCACATTCATCCCTTTCAAGCTCGGTGAAAGTCTCTTTCCTTTTTTTGTTTTTCGGCTCTTATAAATTGATGGAAATCAAAGATCCACTAACAAGGGGAATCCACTCGGTCCATAGCATCATCCATCTCATCCATCTCTCTCTCACAGTCTTCACACCCTTCTGGCCCGCAGCCTCCTACTAAGACCAGTGTTGGTACGTCTCCATTTCCCATTCCAACCACGCTGCCATTCGGGGCCCACGCCACGTCAATCATGCCGTCCGGACACTGCAACAGGCCGCTGACAGAGTATAGCCCGCCCCCGGGAACGACCTCATCGTAGGAAGGAGCATGAGTGGCGGCTCTCGCTTCCTCCAATCGGAGCCTCTGTCTGCGGCGGAGCTCGATGATGGTCTTTGTGTAAGAGTTGAGTGTGACCACCGCGGCCCCCATACAGCAACTGAAGGACACCCAGGCAAGACTAGGAACAGAGCAGATTTAGGAGAGTTAGAGACAAAAGAGAGACATCATGAATTGTAAATAACAAATATATGAATGTGTATTCTTGAATAATCGGGTGTGTATGCTGCCTCTTAAGAGCAGCCACCTACGCGAAAGACCAGCCATAGTCCCAGGACTGAGGCCTCCAGTCTTTGGGGCCAACGATGACTGTCATCTGGAACACGGTGGTGAACATCATGTGGGCCACCATCCCAAGAAGACCTACAGGAAAGATCACAATGCAAATAGAGAATGCTGTATGTAGAATGAGGAGGTTATAAAGTCAGTGAAAGATAAATGATGAACTGAGTTTCACCTGATAACACAGTACAGATAGCTGCATAGGCATTGATTTTTAGCGAGTGCATCTCTTTATGGGAACACAAGACTTCCAGCCACATCAGTAAGAAGCCCATCCCCAGCAGACCGATGTATGTAAACTCTGAAATAACTGACAGCCAGAGCACACCTGCAACATTTAAAAATACAGGCACAATTGACACACTCACATTAATATGACACATATTTTCAAATAAGGCCGAAATAAAAATTTCACAAATAATTTTTTCAGCCAATACACAACTCACCTTGTGTTTCCCCAGGCGTTAAATCTATAAAGCTTCGACATTTCTCCCCTGCCAACCAAATTGTGAACAGATATGAAAAAATGAAGACAGAATATACATTTTTCGTTGAATTCAAATCAGAAAATATTTAGCAGAGAGATGAGACTGGAAAGAACCAATGAAAATCTAAGGAGGCTAAAAGAGCACGGAAATACTGTGACCTGATGCAAATGTTAGCTCACCATCGTTGTGTGTCTCGCAGCTCTCCCAGAAACCAGTGTGGAAGTATCTGAAAGCAAACTTGTCTTCTCCTGTCTCCCAGATGTACTGAACTGCATTAGCCATCTGTCGCTGTCTGATCCGAGCCAGCTCGTCCCTCCGGCCCGGAGACAGGGTGCGGTTGTACGGGTTCTGAGTGGGACTCTCTGTGGGACAGCAAGAGGTGGACAATAAGAAGAAAAAAAAACAGGTTCATTTCTGTGGCTGTCTATCCCTGTTGTGGATAATGGAGGTTGTGGTAACACTAAGTGCATTTAACCACGACGATTACAATTATAACAGCAAGAAAATTGCCTTCAAATATGCAAAAGCTTTTCATGTGCTGGTGCAATACATACAAATATAACTTCGCACTGTACATTTGACATTTATATACATTTTTTATGCCATTCTTGTTTCATACACTAAATGTAAATAATATCCTACTTTTGTATTGTTCCAGCTGTAATTTAGCCCGTCAATAGTGTTTCATTTGGCAGATAGTTTAGATATTCTTTCTTCACGGTCAACTTTTTTGTTTTAGTTTTTTTTTGTTCTGTTTTATCTTCTATTTTGCAATGTTTATATTGTATAATTGTTTATTTTCTACTCTTTTTTTATTTCTAAATATGTGTAATACATTGTTTTTCATGCTGCTGCAATGAAAACTTTCCGCAATTTGTGCAGGCATCAACAACTGTTGTTTAATACAGTACACGCATGACATGCACAGACACACAGTGTGCAAACTGCATTTGCCCTTACACTTCAGAAATATCTAATAGCATCTTTGACAAAATATTACCTTGTCTAAAAACGTAATGCATGAATTGTCTGAGAGGAGAATTACAAACACACATTTTGTTTGCAGCTTAACCCTGATTTTGTTGGAGAAAAACATGTTTTTAGTTTAGATTGAGAGACAGAGAGAAAATAATGGGCACAAATCTAGTTGGTTTCTCACACCATGGTCTCAAAAGTATCATGCCTGTGTTTTTCAGTCACATGCAGGCTTGGCAGCACCATGTCGTGCCACGTGTGTTTGTATCAGTTTTAAAAACATAAGGGACAGTTAAAGCTACCACTGTGAAGATATTTCTGAACAAATACACAAAGTACATGTAGATGATTTTTTGATGCGGTAAGAGCTGTTAATCCCATTGTGGATTAAGAATATCTGTTGAGAAATAAAAACCAGGCAGCAGCCAATGTCCAATAAACCCTAAAACATGGGATCTGCCATCATACCCCACAGATTAATACTACACCATAATTAAGTTCACTGCAGGAAGGTATGTGCAAAAAGAGATTAAAAAAGAAACCAGGGACAATCACAAGGGGAGAAACATGTCAGTTTATCCAGTCAGATTATTTTTGAGGTATTGTTTCTGGTTATGCAGTAATACAGTCCTAGAATTCAATACTCATATAATCAGGTTCAAAAGTGAAGGCCAAAATGTTGGTGAGTTCAACGCCAGAAAGCTGCATTTAATATCTTCACATATTTTGAAAGACTCAGAGATAATACACAATAACAAGCTAACCGCATGCACAGACATTCAACTAAAATGTGATCTGATATACCATATACTGAACACACAAGATACTTTCAATTGCAGAGAAACATTTTGGTCCATCAACATGTAGGCTCATTCTTGACCATGGTAACTTTAACAATCCTGAAGTCCACTTGCTAGCTTTTATCTTTCTTTAAAATGAATAAGAGCTTTCACTCACATATCAGTGCACTTGATAAGAGTCTGCAGCTGAAGGCAGTGAGTTGCAGATGAAAGCAACACAAAAACCTTAAGTAGACCTTCAATCTTAATTGTTTTTGTCAAATTATCTTGATGTCTTGATGTATAAATAAATGATAAAACTACTGTACCATTGGAATTAGAAAGTAGTGATTATTAAAGCATCCCAAAAACAATGGTGCATTATCCTGCTGAGGGTATCTGTCTGAAACAGAGTAACCTGTGGCAATAATGTACAGTACCTGGTCAATAACAATGTTTCGACTATTGAGAAAGACTAGGAAAGCATCACAGACTGTTGATGCCAGGTATCCATGAGCTCACACTGTTTCCGACACATTTCTTGTGAAATGCCCGTGAGCGTGTCCCAACAGATATGGATTATGTGGACCACAGGCAACTTTCTTTTGTGCCTTTGATGATCCAACTCATAGATGAATTCAATACGGCATGACAAGTATCTGTGCCCCCATGAATGTTTTGCTTATCAGTAATTGAATGTCTTTGCTCAGACTGCATACTTAGCTGTTCTGTTGAGACTATATTGATTGTCAAAACCAAGAGGGAGCTTTTTGATAACTAGAAAAAGTGTTCCTTTAAAAAAGTGGGTATTAGGATACATTTAAATACACTCATTTGTATGTAATCATGTAACTAAAAGTGAAGTTAAAGTTACAGTATACATAAAGGAAGCAATAAAGAAACACAATAAAGCAATAGGAAGCAAACAAAGCTTCACAGAACACTTTGATGTGGAGAGGTAAGGACATCTACCTGTGGTGTAAGGCTCGCTGTTGTTCTGACCACAGTTCTTCATTTTGACTGGCGACAGGCAGAGAGGCTTCACCACCTTGTGGGTGCCCTCGCACCAGTAAGAGGTGCAGAGGGCCAGGATGGAGAGGGCCAGAGCCAGAGAGGTCAAGGTCAGGGAGAGCAGGGAGCGAGAGCGACGGGACATTCGCTCCAGCATGGCCACGCAGGAGAAGAGGGAGGCAGGGCGAGGCCAGCGAGAGAGGGGGGACAAAGTGAGGCAAAGAGGGGGGAGATGCTGCACGTGGAAATAGGACGAACAGGGCAGAGGGTATAACTGCAGTCACAGATGGTGCTGGGAGGGCAGATGTTTTGGGATGGTTTAAAGAGGTGATGAGCTTCCAGGTTTAGATGGAGAGAAAACAATTAATGTGATGTAACTGTTTAAACAAAAGATGACCAAACACAGCTGACAAAGCGATACTTTAAAGACAGATTGATTAAAAGATAGGATAGCGAGGGGGGGGGGAGCCGGATAAGATGCTCTGAAGTTGATACACGTGGGAAAGGACAGATGGAACGGAAAATGAACAAGAGGGGATTTAGGTGGACGTAGGTTCAGTCCGGGAGAAATGCAAGGACTCCACGGTATGCTGGACAGAAAGATTTAATGTGATATCCTGCTATTGATCCCTGTGGTGAATGATGGCCATACATCCCCTGACCTCAGACCCCTTTGTGCTCACTTTAAAGATCAATGCAACAGTTACAAAAGAGTTATACAAAATGCTTGGATTTATCACTAAAATGTGTATATCTAAGGAGATGGAGGATATCCTTAAACCCAATCCATCTCCTGGCAAGAAAGTAAGATTAAATGTTTAAATGAAACTAAAAAGGCTAAAAACAGGGTCTTCAGATGGTGACATTTAAATGTGTTGATAAGAAGGGCTTAAGAAGGGCTTATGAAAGAATAATAATAATGCTAGTGCTATCCGGTGACCCCAGCTAATATCTCCCCTCCTCCTGATTAACACACTCAGGCCTGACCCTGCCTCTCATGATTAACTCCACTGTGGGACACTCAGTGGAAGAAGAGATTACTTTTCTTTTGATGAAATTATGGATAAACCACAGATCTAAATGAATGTTTTGCTAGTAATCCCTGATAATCTTCTTTTATCTGTTGGTGTTAGGTGTGTTTTAGTGTGAAGTGCATCCTGACCATGTCTGCTCTCTCTCTCTCATGCAATATCTGCCTGTAAGCCCCCAGACCCTGAAACACAACAGAGCAGAAGTTAAACAAGGGATTGTATAGAAATCTCTGATCTGCATGAAACACATGCCAATGTTGGTTTCTAGAATCTGAATAAAGTTGACAATATACAGCACATGATACAAATACCTACATACACGTTAGGGCATTAGGATGCATAATGAAGGAAACAACTACAATCTGTATGTTTAGTATATCGTTTTCTATTTACTGTATCTGTAAACACATTGTATTCTGCGTCTTGATGTTATCTACAATATTTCCTCCACACTCAATACAATTTGTTCTCAATTAAGAACATTTCTCTTAAGCGTTATATACTGAACTTATGTAATCAAAATACGTTTGTTGGAGTTTATTCCATTAATGAATTCAGTGCAAGCTTATTTATAGATACAACGCGTTAACACCACTTGTACTATGTCTGACAAGATGCATTGACAGGTTTGTCTGTCTTTACAAATGTTAAGTAGCTGATTAGAAATGGTACCAGCACATTATCTGAATATCTGATATATGTACTAAATGTATATAATAGTAGTAATGAGAAAAGCAATGCGCATATATATATATATATATATATCGCAGTTCTGTATTCTTAAAACTGTAAGTACTGGTTATTATTTTTGATTGTTTTGTTTGTAAGCCACAGAAAAAAGTTGAACATGTAAATTATAATTTTCCAGTTGGTAAAATCTTCATTTTAATAGTTGTATCCAACATCAGTCCAAAACCTAGAGCAACTCAATTAAAAACCATCATAAATACTTGACAAAAGCATCACTTTTTGACATTTGAAACGCAGGTACCAGTAACTGGTATTTTGAAGTAAAGATTACAGAAATTATAAATGTTCTGTTGATTGACTAATCAATAGAGTCATAGTTAGTTTTTAAAAGTGACAAGTACCTACCAAAGATATTTCCCTTGTCCCTTGTAGCACTTCAGGGCAAACATGAGGTAACTATCAGGATGAAAAGGTGAAATAAAAAAGGTCCACTTGTTGCAGTCCTGTAAAGCTACAGTCCTCTGTTATCTCTGCCCTGGTCAAGAGCCTTTAATCAAAAAGCTCCTTAAGTACTTGATTTTAGTCGCTCCATCTTGAACTGATTTTAAGGGTCACTACCCTCTTGATCTTTTCCCTCAGTATCCGTCACTTGTGTTTCTCCTCCAGGATGAGTCAGTGATGCTTACCTCTCCAGATGAGATCCTCCCTTTAATCCTCCTGGCCAATAGTCGGACAGAGATGCACCGATGGAGACTGTCTGTCTCCACGCCACTCTCTTTTCTGGCTTTCTTGGGAATTGATGTCACAACCCCATCCTGAATCGTGTAATCCCTCTAAGTCCATCTGTTACTGTGGTGCCCTCTCTTTTCCCGTGTCTGTCTCTTTTGAGTGGATGGTCCTTTGCAATCTCCCAAAAACTTTTGTTAAATGTAACTTTTTCTCTGTATTTATTTCGAAAACTCAAAGTTTGGATAACACTGTGAACCGTCTTATCCATAGGAATGGGCATTTGCTTTTTTCCCTTATCACCTTTACCGCTGTGCAAAGCCAGGTCTTGTGCCCAGTATGTTAAGAAGAGTGATGACTTCAAAAAATGACAGAAGGAGCTTTACATAGTCACAATAATTTATTTACAATATGTATTTACAGAACAAACTGAATGGAAAAAAATGTTGGTGTTTGGTGGATGGATTAAAGAAAGAGTCAGGTCCAAAATAGAGCTGAAGAAACAGTTCAACCCCAGGCTTGAGATTTACAGTAATGTAGAACCAGCTTGTTATCACTGCCAAAACACTGAAAAAGAGAGAGAGGAAAATACAGTAAAGGAAGTGATGTGACAGTACAGCTCAAACTACTTTGTACAAACTACTGTTAACTGTCCTATTTAATTGGATATTGAGCTGCAGAGCAGTAAGAGCGGATGTCCCCTGTCAATTCTGGACTTTGAGGTCATTACAGTTTCTTACTTTAATCAGTGGTTTAAGATTTTAGCATTTGAAACCTGGAGCTTCCCTCTTACTGCCCCCTCTGCTGGTTAAAGCTCCACATGACACAATCTCTTCGATGGCCCAGGATTGGAAAGTACAAACACTACCAATATAATATTTCATTAAAAGGCCAAGAGGCAAAGCAAGTTCGGATATGTTCTAGTTTAGTGGTTTAGTACCATCATACTCTGTCATTTTGTATAAAGTACATCTCCTATAAAAGAAAAGGTAAGATTTACAGAACATAATTCAAAATGAAAAAGTATTATTTGTAAGGAGAGGCTTGGTGGATTTACTAAATAAATAAAAGGCAAACAAATAAATTCAATTTTTGTTGTTGGCATGTAAACATGAATGAACTCAACCTTTTGTGTGTATTGTTTTGCAAATGTACTTGGAGACATAGTTTAGGTTTGTGTGTCTGGATTCTATGTTTTAGTTACTCTTTATAAGTAAACGTAACTGGAATCAAACATGGTGTTGGATGATGAGGCTTAAAGCTCTAAAAGGAAAAGGTGTTTAAATGGACTTTGGAGTTGAGATTATTTAGTTGCACATACTGAAAATGAATTACAAATCAATACAGTCACAGGGCATTCAAATACTGTAGGTGTTTACTTACATCAAACAGGATCCCGACTTCTTGATCCGGTGAAGGGGCGAATGACTGGTTGACATAAATGAACTGGAAAAAAGCAGATGAAGTGACATGTAAAGAAAAGAAGACGTTTTAGAAAGTGAACAAACAGGTCGACAAACTTCATCCTTACCAGTTGTTCACTGCCTTCAATCTTGAGGAAGCGAGAGATGAACTGAGACAGGGACAGTATCGTCCGACCCCGCTCCACTGCCCACTTCTTTGTTTTCATTATAGGAGTGTCCCCCACTGCCTTCAGCAGCACATCAACTATAAAAGTGGAGAAAATAAAAGGTGAAAGTGCTGCTGCTGCCACCCAAACTGAATCTGAAGATAAATTGTTGTGGGAATTGATGAAGAAGTTAAATCCATTGAAACATGGAGAAGAAATTGAGAAAATACTGCAGAATTAAGTACATGCCATTCACTCTTTAATTTTTTTTTAATAAATACAAATAGGCTGTGCTCAAAATAAACAAGATTTGAATATTATACTCGAACATTATTTGTGTGTACATAAATGATAAACATACAGGGCTACAAAAAATAGAGGAGATATCTTCTAATATACTAGACATGATACACTTCAGTCAAGTATGGGCTCACTCATCACTAATATGTTATCTATGAAATAGTATTTATTTGGTAAAGTCAAAAATAGTTTTATAAAATAACTCTGTAACAGAAAGTCTCCCTGGATTAAACTTCCCACAGCTCATGAGAATAATATTAGTAAAAAGTAGGATACTCCTTGCAATTCCAGAAAGAACGTTTTTAATGCCCTAAATCTAACCCATGAAACGAGATCTGTTGTGTTGTTTTAAGCTAACTGGAGTTTGTTAGCTTAGCATTAATACAATGACAGTTACAAGAGGTAGTTGATATTGGCACTATCGTAAAAAATATGTTATGTAAACAGCATCTCTGAAAAGTATACATCCCATGAGGGAAACTAAGATTATATTAGTAAAAAGATTATATTTTGCCTTCATAAATAGCAGCATTTGATTGCGCCGTTCCCCAAACCGGTAGTACTAAATGAAAAACGCTTAATGCTTATTGGCTAAACAGAAAAGAGGAACCTTTCTATTGGCCAACATCTCTGTCTATCTTAATTTACGTCACACACCCGGAACAGTTTCTTCTAGCACTGTCAACATCCCTCGTAAACAGAAAATTATTTATCACTGATTGAGTAGAGTTTTGGATATATAACAAATTCTTACTTTTTTTCTTCTCATCATTTGTCGACGTCTCGTCTGGCGGCGGTTGTGACTCCTCTTTTGGCGTTTCTGTTGGGGACTCTGCATTGTCAGACATCTTCAGGTGACCACTCTGGCTGTGGTTACCACCCACCTGAACAAGCCTAGCGATTGGGTGCGTACAATGGCTGCTATTGCCTCTAAGAACCGTCAATCACGAAGACACGTAATTCTATTGGTCAATGGGCGGTGGGCGCTGCTGTGTTTATCAAAGGCTGTCGAACTTGTGTGTCTTCCTCATAGCTACATGCTAGGTTAGTTGTTCTTTTTTGGACTTTGGAATTGTTAAATTGCTTATCACGAATGTGGAAGTTGATTGTCTATTGATTTAATCTTGTGCACGTTTTTGTTAAATATTGCATGCATTCCTACTCTTTCGCTTCAACTAAAATAGCATGTTGTGTTCGTTTCTCATAACACAATCACATGGGACATTATACTTTAACCTGATAGCTGAACTTTCTACAGCCCTGTTTGACCCATTACGCAGTCCTCTACCTCTACCAGACACAAGGACCATTCAGACAACAGCAGTAAGTTCACTTTAATGTTTCTTTATATTACGTTTAGCTCAAATGACCGTATATCGCCATGTCACTCTAATTCAATTGTGTTCAGCTAAGAGACGGTTCTCATTGTTATAAAGACAATGCCATTCACCATTGACGAAATATTTCGTACAAGGAAGAGAACCTATTTCCTTTAAAAGTAGACACAAAATGCACAAATTGGAAAAACATAATTTGAATGCAAAATGTATGTCAAACAGAATTGCATATATGACATTGAATGGGGGATATTATTAAAACTTCAATGCTATTTTAAACTGCAGTGGCCAATCCACTGTGTTGTTCCTGACCTTAAATCTGTACCTCCTTTTCTGTTAACTTGCTCTTCCAGTGGCAAGCATTGGCCGGCTCTCCACCAAGGATGCAGTGCTCCTCCTGTGTGACATGCAGGAGAAGTTCAGACCCAACATCTTCCAATTTCCCAACATTGTCAGCAATGCGGCCAGATTGCTCAAGGTTGGAAATACTCACCATCACAGAATCACGCAAGTAGCTGTCAACCATACCAGTAATCAGCTTCCTATTTATTATGAACTATTAATTATATCTCACTTCACAGGCCAGTCGTGTTCTCGGCATCCCCGCCATTTTAACAGAGCAGTACCCTAAAGGCTTGGGTCCCACTGTACTAGAGCTGGAGGCAGGTGACCTGACTGCTTATGCTAAAACCTCTTTCACCATGATGATAGACGAGGTGGAGAAGCAGATGCAGGCCCTCGGGAACCCCAAGCAGGCTATACTGTGTGGAATAGAGGCACACGCCTGTATTGCAGTAAGACCACATCACTGTTCAAATGTCATAATATAATTCTCAGCATCATGAAACACAACATAAGTCCTCTACATTATTTGAAATGTATTTTAAATATGTTCCTTTGTTATAGTTTTTGTAAATCACAATTACTTGCAGGTTTTATTCTCCAGTTGGCTTGCCTACTGTTCTTAAAGATGCCAGATCTTGCTCATACATATCATATGTGTCTTATGCATTCTTGCATGGATTTTTGATTGAAATAAAACCCTTTTTATTAGTGGTCCTTCACAGATTAAAGGAGAAATATAGTGGAAAAACTCACTTGTTTAGTGTACATACACGTGGGTTGGATTACCTACCAACCCACAAACTGTAAAATATGAACATTTATGATGTGGAAGGCGATGATGGGAAATCTTATTATTAAGCTATAACATTATGCTGTTCTAAAGACATTTTATTATGCTAGTTTTCATGGTGTGCAACAGAGCTTAAGTTAATAATTAAATACCCTTCCCTCTTGTCTTTTCCACAGTGCACAACATATGACCTGCTTGAAAAGGGAATAGAGGTTCATATCGTGGCTGATGCCGTCTCATCCAGAAGGTATCTGTGTATTCTATATGTTGTTCTGTTATATAGCATCGTCTCACCCACATTAAATATAGATTTGTTTCTCTGTGTTTCTGGAATCGGTTTATATGTGTTCCTACTTTTGTGTCTCCCCACACAGCCAGACAGACCGCTTGTTTGCTCTGTCCCGACTGAAGCAGAGCGGGGCGTTCCTCACCACCACTGAGGCTGTTCTGCTGCAGCTGGTTCAAGACGCCAAACACCCAAACTTCAAGGAGGTGCTTGCTCTAGCTGCACTTTGTTGCTCTCCTGAGTTACTTTTGTTTGTTTCATGCCTGACAAACTTATTTTCTTTATTGACAGATCCAGAGGCTTTTGGCCCACCCGTCCCCTGACACCGGCCTCCTCTCCTTCTTCAGCGCTCTGTAGCAGGACAATCTCCTGTGATTCTGTCCCTAAAATACTGCAACACACTGATAAAGTGCTTCAATAAAAGGATATTGCTATACATTTATATGGCTCTTGTGTTCATGTTTCAGAATCAAACTCTCATGCTTTGTTTGAAATCCTGAGTCTGTACTGTTGAAGTAGAAACTGACAGGTTGTCCCTATTCATTGCAGTCCTGGTGAGCCTACAGCTGGAGGAACCTCTAGTTCAAACTTAGAGAGTCTGAAGAGGAGGGACCAGCTCACAGAGGGGAGGCGCAAAGAGTGAGGTCACAAAGAGGGAGGGATGAGTGACGTAATTCTGGTAAAGCCAGAAAGGGAGGGGAAGGACAGAGAGGGAAAGAAAAAGGAAGCTCTCCGATACGTTTTTTTTGTATGTATTTCTACAAAGTTACACAAACTTTCACCAACCAAAGGCATGACTGATCTTGTGGGGATCAACTTGCCGAAGAGGGAGATCTGAAGGAAGGGACGGACAGCAGTTTGTCAGCAGTTGTGCACAGCTGATGACAACATCACATATTAACACTTTTTAAGGCCTTGGGCCTCGAGTAACCAAACAGAGGTAAGCAAGTCATTCTTATTCCTCACAAAATAGAAAGTACATGTGGAGTTGTCACACTTATAGGCAGTCATTTTCATGTATTTGCTTGTGAGTGGATAGTTTCCACAGCAGGACAAAGTGTCGGAACTTGCAGAGTGGAAGTACAGGAACAGAGCGGTTGACAGTGTTACATCACAGGCAGAGGGAAATCTGTAAAAGCATTACTCAGTGTTGTGTGTATAGCTACAGTGTCCCAAGTTAAGGGAAAAATTAAAATGCTCTCTTCTGATCCTTCATACCCAAACAGAGAAAAAGAGACCATGTCCTCTGAACTGAACTCCAGTCTCACCAGTATCGACTGGCTGCCTCAGCTGGGAATCAGCAGCCTGCGCTCGGGGAGAGACAGAGGAGGAGAGAGGGACAAGAAGAGAGACAGAGGGAGGGAGAGGGGAGACTTCCTCCCCTCTCTGCCGGACCCCTCCCACTCTAACTACAAAGGGAAACCCCCTCACAGCTATGCCACTCTAATCGCCATGGCAATAGCAGCTGCACCTGAGAGGAAGTTGAGTTTGAACGACATCTACACCTGGATCAGTGACACCTTCCCCTACTATAGCCGAGCTGGCCGCGGCTGGAAAGTAAGCTTGAATGTAGAACAATAACATATTATCTTCATATTAGAATGGTGATAATATGGTTCGGGATATGTTACCAATTTCCATTTTATTTGAATTACCAGCTGGTGCACGACTGACTTCATAATTTTGTTTCCCTCACAGAACTCAATTCGGCATAATCTGTCCCTTAATAAATGCTTCAGGAAAGTTCCTCGACCACAGAGTGACCCCGGCAAGGTGAATACTGACACATTTTGATTCTGCATCATGTGAGATGGAGGAAGGGAAGAGCGTTAATCTGAGCACTTGTTTTGTTAATGGCAGGGCTCCTATTGGACAATGGATGGACCTGCAGAGATGAATCAAGTGAGGGCGCCTAAACGTCCCTATCCAGAGGAGGAAGAGGAGAGGCAGGACGTATGTTGTAATATCACTTACTCACCTACTCTATATAGAAGAGAATGCGCCTATTGAAAAACTTGACATTGTTGAGAGATTAGTCAGCATTCAGTTACAGTTTATTGAGGTGAAAAAAGTGTTTTTCATTTTACTTTCCTGCAGGAATTTATATTTTTACCACCCTTTCACTTCGTCTCACTGTGCTGTTTCAGGTTCCTGTAGAGACACAAGCGGAGAGCAGAGCTTCTCCTCATCAACATCCACCTCCACCCTCACACAGAGACCACCAGCTCACAGAGCCTCTGGGAGCCATCCAGCAGCAGCCTCCCCACTTTGCCTCCCTTTCCCCTCCCCCATGCAAGGTAGAATCACTTTCACCTTTCTTTATCACAGTCAGGGTTGTTTCAGCGTTTCATCTGATCTAATCTTTTATCTTCACAGCAACCATCACCCTACATGCCAAGCCCTGTGTCCTCTCACTCTGTCCATAATCAATCTCCTGCTGCCCCTATGTCTTCTATCCATTCCTTTTCACCTCACCATCCACCTGGACCAACTTTTACCCCCCCTCCTTTATCTGCTGCCAATATGTCTTCTCCTTCAGCTCATTCTTTCTCCAATGCCCCATTGTCCTATCCTGCTAATTCAGTTTCTGGTCCCATTTTCACCTGCGCTCCTACCGCAGTGCCTGTTTGCACTGTGTCCGCCCCCCCTCACTCCCCTGCGTGTGGGGTCCCTTCATTTGTTGCTGGTCCTCCTGTGGTCTCAGTGAACTCCTCCGAGCCTCAGCTGCTTTTCACCTTCGACGAGATGATCTTGCCAGACTTGTATGCGTCTTTCAAGTCTATCTTCAAGACCATGCGGGACAGGGGTGGCTCACAGTGTGAGTACTATGTCTGTCTAATGCAGCACTTTGGAACAGTCGTCTTGAAAAGTGCAACATAGTTATATATATTAAAATTTCCGAACCACAAATAAAGATTGCAATATGTCATATTTGTACTGCTTACATGATCTGTATCATGCCTCATTTAAATAGTACTGTACCAGAACAATCAGTAATGTGGAGTTAAGCATTTACTTTTCAGATAAAGGACCTCTGTGCCAAAATGGAAACTCAAATATTGATTAAGCCCACATTATACACATTAACAGCTCGGATGAGTGACTTATTTGTATGCAATTTACAGCGGATGTTGCTCCACTGGCTCCTCTGAACAACGACACTACCCCACTTCACACTCCAACTCTGCTGCCATTTTCCCCTCACCCTGCACCACCAGCAGCAGCACCTCCACCTGCAGCTCCTCATGTAGCTCCACCTGCAGCACCTCATGTAGCACCTCCATCAGCTCCACACCCTCCTGAGACTGAGCGCATTCCACAATACAGTAAGTCCAACATTACCTCACTTACTGACCCCAGACATGCTTGAATTGCATTAAAGGCAGAATCAGTGCTTTCTAAAGTTACCTTCCCTCTTCCACTTTAGCGGTGCCAGCTGACTGGTTCAGTAACCCTGATTCTCTGAAGGAGAGCTTCCGCATTGCCAGCAGTCTAGACTGGGCCAACATCGACCTCTCTGGTCACCCAGGTCTGTGCTGTTCACCAGAGTCTTGATAACATGTTGTTTCTCTTCTGGAGGTTGTTTGGGTCAAATCTGCTGAGGTTTTGAGATATTCATCTACTCTCAAGTATTAGACAAAGGAAGAGAGGAGCTGTTTGAGTCAGTTAGTCAAGCAACAGACAATGTATTGGCAGTTATAATGTAATCAATTGATTTTTTTCCTAGCAAAAAAACAATTATTCTTTGCTTCCAGCTTCTTAAATGGGAGGATTTAATGGTTTAATTTTGTCATTCGATAGTAACCTGAATATTTTTGGGCATTAGAATTGATCTTTTGATATTTTTTACTATTTATTTTTGATTTAATATCCAAATTGATTAATTACAAAAAGTATAATTTGCAGATTATTCAATAATGAATATCATCTTCACTGCGGCCTGGAATGGTGCTGTGTTGTGACACCACTAATACAACGTGTACAGTGGTGGAATACAATTCTCAGAGATACTGTGGATATCTCAAAACCTCAGCAGATAAAAATAAATCTGGCTTGTGTGAACTGCCAGATTTACTGACCCATTAAGATGTTTGTCTTTTTCTGCTGATGTATCAACTCTTCATGGGTGGCAGATAGTGAAACAACTGAATATGATGATAATTTAAACATTTTTTCAATAACTTTTGTTGTTGTTTATTAAAGACTTTCTCTCCCATTCTGTCCCCAGACCTGCTGGAGGGCATGCGGCAGGCGGAGCTCTGTGATTGGGCACTGGACCCGACGCTCTTCACGTCCCTCTGCGACTCTCTGAACCGCTTCTTCACTCAGAAAGGCATGATTACCTCTGGGAGTAACTCCCCCCTGGCCCTCGGGGGTCCTCACCCCCTACACGGCCCACCATTCACCTCCAATCCGCCTCCTACCCTCGCCAGCCTGACTCACCCCTCACCCCTCCCTTACTCTCCCATAGTTCACCCCGTCAGTGGAGTGCAGCCCCCCCGTAGGGCTCCGCACATGCAGGGCCAAAGACCTCAGCTCACACAACCTGCAAACACAACCGGTAAGAACTGGACATCATGGTCGATTGGGTTTCCATTTAAATGTTTGTGGTAACTGAGTGGAATTCTGTATGGCGCTTGAAAGGATAGGTTCAGATATTTTTCTAAATAAATAACTCAATAAATTATACAATTGATATAAAAGAAAGAAATACATGTGCATGTTAATTTGATAACTAATGTGCACAGAACTAGAACATATTTTCTAATTGTTTCTTAACTTGATTTGCTTGTTTAAATTGATGTCTGTACATTTTCCCAATTTTTAACTTAAATAAATACATTATATCAATTTTAAATGCGTTTAAATATTTCTGTACATGTTGTTTCTCTATTTCTTAGTTGTTTCCCATAATGGTAGATGCAGTCTGTGGTAAAGGAGAAGTTATTTAAATAGGAATAACCTTACAATAGCGTTTTCACTTCCTGTTTGTTGTGTGCTAACTTAGTCCATGTTTCTGTGTCTCAGCTGGGATGCAGCCTCAGTCCATGACACCACGACAGCGTCCTCCATTGAAGAATCTGCACAGCAACAGTGAGGAGATCCAGGACGACTTTGACTGGGACTCTCTGCTAGGTTGAGCCTGACTTCCAGTTTAAAACAGAACTTATCAGAGAAATGTGGCTCTTTAGTCTCACAGCCGTCTCCACTAAACTCTATGCAGGGGCTGCCTTACTTTCGTATCTTGAAGCTTCTCTGAGAGCAAGTTTGGGATCAAGTGTGTCACATTCAACTGAATGCTGTATTTTAAGGTTAAATAGTTGTACAAATTATTCACCTTAACATAGCTGTTTTAACTTTTGTTTAGCTTTTCTTCTGCAGGCTGTTTTTTTCTGTTGGATTTTAGCTTTTAAAAACATGTTCACCAAAGAAAATAAACTGTAAATATATTCTTATCAAATTAAATACATATGGGATGCTTGGATATAAACAATAAACACATAACAAGCATGAAACAAGCCAAACACATAAAGTGTTTTTGTTTTATTTCGTAAATTCCTTTTGATTTTTTTTCCATTTTACTTTTCAAATGTGAATGTTCACAGTCATCACCACACAAAAGTCAACCTTACCCAATAAAAGATATTTTTCTTGTTGATATAAAATAACAATTAATTCATCAAACTAAATTAAAAGAACAGCATGGAGCATGTCATCAAGTCCAAGTTTTTTTCTTTCATTCATTGAAATAATTGTCTTTTTTTTTTTAAGAAGCATCAGTACTCTCCCTCTCCGAAGACAGGGCTGAAACGGGTGGACAGTGTAGCTCTGGGACACCTGGACACCAGGGGTCCCATATGAAATGTGTGATTGGAAAAACTAATGCTTCTGATTAACAAACAAAAAAGTGAAATATGATTGGCAGAGAAATGTGTGACCCTTATACCTCATCTGAAATCCCAACATTACATAGTATTAATACAAGTGACAATTTTTTAAAACAAAAATAATGGATGTCATTTCTTGCTTTCTGAGTCACTGAAATAAGAATGGAGACAGATATTGACACATATACACAGAAACAGGCATTTGCACTATTGCATACTCACAAATGAGCATTCATTTTCTCATTCGCACCTGGCTGCAAACACACACATTCAACAAACATCCCATCACTTCGCCCATCAGACCACAGAGGTCCGAGCTCTCTTTAGTTTTCTCCAATAAAATGAAGGGGAAAAATAAGCATTTGATTTAAATGGCATCGTCGTGTGATTTTCTTGTTAATTTGTTCCCAAAAATTGGAAACAAAATAAATTACATTTAATATTAAATTAAAAGTAAAAGAGTTGAAACAATTTGACCACATTGTGCCTGAAATGCTAATGCAGGATTTCCAGTCTGTATTGGAGTTCATTAAAAATCATCCTTCATGCACATTTTTCCTTTCAGTGATTCAGTGTTTATCTTCATTCGAGAGAGAGAGAAAGAGAGAGAGAGAGAGAGAGAGCGAGAGAGAGAGAGAGAAAGAGAGAGAGAGAGAGAGAGAGAGAAAGGTGCAACAGTTTCTCTGTTCAGTTAGTGGCTATGTCTGCTCTCTCTCCAGCTCTCTGTCAGTGCAGTAATATTTCAGAGTGATAACTGAAAACGCCTCTGCTCACAGACTTACCTTCATCTCAAGACAGGACTGAAAATAACACAACATGAAGAACGCTACAGAACGGCACAGGATTAAAACAAAAATAAATAGATCTCTATTTCCCGCCCACAAACAACCCATACTGTAATGAAAGGAACTAAATGTGGAAAATTATTCTGAAATGAAATAATGCTTTTGAAGGAAAAGATAAACATAATTTTTAAATTTTTAGTTTTTTTCTTTAAATATAGAAATGTACACATTTTTCTTTTTGGACACAAACTGTGTTGAAGGGGGGGGGGGGGGGTGAAGGGGGCAGCAGGTACGACAGGGGAGGTTGAAACTGGTGAGCAAAGTAGTGGTGACACTTCCTCAAAGAAGGAAAGGGTTGGTGCTCGCTCCCGTCGTTCCTCCGCCTCCCACTGACCCTCCTGCCCCCATCACTCCGGATCCACTTGGCCCACCCAAAATCAGCTGAGGAGGTGGTCCGCCTCCGTGCCCCATAAAAACCGAGCCTGGGGGGGCCATAGGCGAGAGGCCGCTGAAGGGCATGCCCATGGGGCTGGCCTGCATCATGCCCATGCCCATCCCTGGAGCCCCCATACCCACAGTCATTGGCCCCATGCCCATTCCTGGTTGCATCATGCTCAGCATGGGGTTGGGGGGCACAGGACTGGAGCGGAGGCTCAGGCCAAGTGAGGAGGGCTGAGGTGAGATGGAGCTCATGGGGGGGGCCACGCCAAACGGGTTGGAGCAGGCAGGTATTGGAGAAACCCCCCGACTGGAAATGGTGCTGCCTGGAGTCACTGCCATGCCAGGAGCAGGAGATGAGCCTGAGGTCAGAGGTCAGAGCGGACAGGAACACATCAGGATCACTTCATACCTGCCATTACACTTTGTTCAACACTTTTTCAGATACCTTTTCAATCCATGCCAGGTTTTTATATTTTTCAACACATGCCAGTTAATCCAATAATCTAATCATATTTAATCCGCAACCGTTTTATATGATAGATTTGGATTTTAATAACCAAATAGCTAAATATGGAATAGTTTGAAATGAACTTTTCTCAATTTTAGTGACTGTGAATATGTAAGTTTTGTGTTATCAAGAAGGCTATCTCAAAATGCACTTTTCATGAACAGGGTTAGAGTGTCTGTCTGTCTGTCTGTCTGTCTGTCTGTCTGTCTGTCTGTCTGTCTGTCTGTCTGTCTGTCTGTCTGTCTGTCTGTCTGTCTGTCTGTCTGTCTGTCTGTCTGTCTGTCTGTCTGTCTGCCTGTCTGTCTGTCTGTCTGTCTGTCTGTCTACAAAAGCAATGTTGATCTTAACAAGTTCGGTTGTTGCTCTTTTCTCAGGTTATACACAGATATAGACGATAGCTGTAACTAACCTGTGTTCTGGAGAAAGGGGTTGTGCGCTGAAGAGGAAGAGATGGAAGGGGGCGGTGGCTGTTTGGGTTTGGGTTTAGATGACAAGAGAGAGTCGAGATCCACCAGCGCTGCGTTGGGGCCGAGGAAGGACTCGGGAGTCTTACGAACAGGAAGTGAAGAACCAAGAGATGACAGGTCAAAGGGCACCGGGGAGCCTGTGCTGTTACAGCCTATTGCCGGGGACCCCCATCGCTCCGGGTCTCCTGAGGAGGATAGAAACAGTAAACCAGGATACAAGCAAAGTCTTTCTTTCCTTATAATATAACCACAGATGATATAACAGACACTAGAGGAGGATGAAATGTAGGACAAGACAACTGTAGTGTGCATGCAGTTATAAATCTGTGTGTAGTCCCTGTACCCACACCTCAGTGTTTGAGAGTCGGTGTAGCTTTAAGCGTGAATGTACCTGTGCCGTTTGTGTGTAGGGCGGTGCCACTCCAGATGTCGGAGGTTATAAGGTCAGAGGCAGGGAGAGCCCCTTCACCTGCCCAGGGGTCTACGGGCCCCCCCGAGGAGGATGTGCTGGGTGGCACCGGGGGGCCCCAGGGGTCGGCACTGGGGGGGGTCACAGCTACAGGGGAGGGGAGGAGACGCAGGGGAGGGGAGGGTTAACACAACACCTTACAGGTACATACACAATAAAGAGGGAGCAGGAAGCTGGGCTGGGTTCCAACACTGTTGCTTCTCTCCTTTAACCTCTGCAGTCCCACTAACGTGACAGCTGACAGCAGATAGTAGGTTCACCGTCACCTTTTTCATATCTAAAGCTCAGTGGAGGTAAAGGAGAGATAATAAGCAGCTACCCCATACAATAAAGAGGCACAAAAGGGGTGAGAGAAGAGACAGCTCTGGTTGAGACACAGCCACAGTCAGTCCTGAGTAGAAACAAGAGGATAACAATCCCTGGTTTAGACACAGAGGGAGAATGGATTTAGCATGCTTGCTTTCCTCATTACACACTGAAAGCATGTATGAGAGCTATGACAGCATGGTGACATGACTACATTACAGGCAGTAATGAAGACAGGAAATGGAACAGAGGAGTAAAGGTTGAGAGGTCTTCACATCCTCTTTCATCCAGAGAGCAGGACACGCTTCTCTTCTGATACTCAGCCGAGAGTTCACATTTCCAGTAACCTGCGGAGTGACTAATGATGTGGTTGCTTACCTGAACTCGCCCAGGGGTCAACGTTGTTAACTCTGTTGGACGTCTCTCCCCAGGGGTCAGGGGGAAGGGCTATATTGGGTGGAGCTCCCCCACCCCAGGGGTCAGAGCTTGTAGGGGATGTGGGTGACGTAACCCCCCATGGGTCTGCAGGAGCTGCGCCCCAAGGACCTGAGGCAGCAGGGGCAGGAATCGAGGGTGGAGGCGAGGGGCCGGCAGAGCTCAAAGGGGCCGCAGCACCCGCGGCCCCCCAGGGGTCGCCTGCACTCAGCTCCATCAGAGAGCCCTGTGCCGAGAATATCTTATCGATTAATGCTCCTAAAGCTGTGTTCAGAAAGAAATCTAAGGACACATTCACCCCACGATGTAGAGGTTAGAAGACGAGGAATTTCACAAAACGGAGAAGTCAAAAGAGAGAGAACTGCAGATCAAATACCACTGCTTTTTAAAACTACTTAATCTAAGGGGGATAACCTCAAGGTTACACAACAGTTACAATAATTTGGGGGGACTGAGAGAGACACAGATAGAGGAGGTAATGTCAGGAGAGTGAGAGACGTAGAGACACTTTGAACACACACCTCCTCCGGCTTCTTCTTTTCCCTCCTGCTCTCCTCCAGGGCCATCTGCAGTCTCAGGTCGTCTCCTCTGCGCAGTCGCTCTTCCTGCCAATCACACACACTGTGATGTCAGCTACCTGAGACACACACCCTTAGAAAGCACACCACATTTACAGATTTAAGATCAGTTTAAGATTCAAAGATGAATTAGTGGGATTGGAAGTGAAAACGTTTGATCACCATCTACAGTGAAAGGAAATTAAGGCAAATCGCCCAATCTTTGAATTAGTAGAGTTTGCTATTTTGTCTGATTCTCACAGTATTTCAGCAAAACACAATCAGATCAGACACATGCTTGTTTCACACATGAAATAAAGTTATCCAGGACTGCTGTCAATAGACAACCTAAAATAAAATTGAGTACAGATAAACTGTCTGGAAAGGTTTAGACAAGGATAGGCTATAATTGATATACTATAGACTGACTGAACCAACATCAGCACTTAAGGGGGAAAGACAAAGACAGCCGTAGTTAATTTGCTTGTTGACAAGTTGTCATTTTGAATACTTCTCAGAAACTATTGGTTGGTTTTAATTCCTTCATGCTGTTTGTGGATAACTTGCTTAAAATGCTGTGCATAAAGAACAGGAAGTCGTCTTTTAGCATTGCCCAGTCAAGCCACTTTGACATCCAGCCTACCTGGAGTACATCAAATAAAAACGCCTAGATCAACCAACACAAATCTTGCAGATCGTCACAGGACGTTCCCACCTAATTCAACCTTTTTTTCTATCACCTAGTAGCAAGGAGTGACACAGGGATTTATCCATGAAGAACAGACAGTATCTGCTATATAACGGAGCAAGTCTTATGCTTAATGTCACTTGTGACATATAGTGTTATCCTTATAAGACCCTGCTTTAGTTTTAGATTACACCAATGGTGCGGTAAGTGCAGGACTCTACCCACTAGCATAAAAAAGGTTAACAAATGTTTAACTCAGTCAACATGGTACAAGCAAGTTACAACAGCAGGAGACGGGTGTAACAGTTTAGGTAAAGAGTGCATTCAAAAACAAGACTATAATTGAAAGCATGCTATCAGAGAGGGTGAAGGAGAGGAAAGAGTGATCAAACCACTCAGTGTTTAATTCAGTAAGTTATGAGAAATATTTGCCAATGCCATGCATATTCAACAAAAGAAATTAGAGATAATCAAATTTTTGGGAGCTGATTTTTGACATAAATTTAAAAAGCACCTACTTTGCAAGCTTTATAGTTTTGCAGAATGTAAAAGGAATTTGACTGGACAAGTGATCACGACCAAATTACTGCATTCTGATGCAAATTTATATTTTGAAGAAAATGACACATGACAAATATGAGCAGAAATTAGTTTTGTTAATTGATCAATACTTGATGTGTAATTCAGAAATTCCAATTGACAGAAAGACAGATAGTATGTGACTGGGCCCCCAGTCAGCTGGCTCTGCCCCCTGACCTTTTGTTGCGCATCTTTGCTGAGTGTGATAGCATAGCTGAGCTCTGCGTCCTCCAGAGGGTCCTTGTTAGTCTGGGGGAGGTCAGGCAGTACATGGTGAGAGCAAAGCTAGGTGTGTGTGTGTGTAGTGAATAGTATGGGTAATATATCCCTATGTGTACACAAGTGCTGAAACAAACTGTACAAACTGCAAACTCTGCTGGTGTTAGTCACAGTAATGCTTGAATCCTTATCTCAGAGGGCTCTAACTTAGCTGTGTCTGCCCTGAATATGCTGCTTTGTGTTACCTGCTCTGCCTCTTCTTTACTCATGGCCAGAGCCAGCTGGAGTTGCAGATCTTCCTCTCCAGTGCTCTGGGGCCACGCCTGCTCAGGGTCGGCCCCCCCCAGAGTGGGAGCCCGCTGACAGGCTGCCTCCCAGGCTGGGTGCTGAGGGAGCTGAGGAGGCTGCAACAGAGACAAACCAGAATATGCATGAATGAGAGCTTGTGTAAGGTCATCAACTTATCAGAGCTAAAGGCCTTCTTTCAGTGTAATACTTTCACTTTGAGCATTGGTTAAATCTTTAAAGACAATCTATTTTAAGTACCAATCTCACCACTGGAGGTTTGTGCCATCTTCTCTTTGGTTTTGAGGGCGTGGATCCTCTCCTCTCTTAGTCTCTCTTCATCTTTTAGCAGTGTCACCAGCTGTTTGGCTTTCTCTCTAACATTTACCCCCTGGAAAAAAGACATGCATAAGCAAACAAGTATATCCTGCAAATGAAGTGTATTGTTTTTACATAACCATACAGCTGTACACCTCAGAGTTAGTGTTAAAGCTTGTTAGTTTGTTAGTTCAAGGTTTCATTTACCAACTTCCCATAAAAAACTTTAATGGCTGGCTTTGTTTGCATAGGAGGTCAGAAACACATTGTAAAATGTCCTAGAATGACACACAAGCGGCATGTTTGGAAAAGCATGTCTGCATTCCACAAAGGTGGAACTTACTCGCTAATCACTTCAACTATCTATGCAGCTCTGTGGGCCTGGGTGCGCTTGTGTACCTGGTCTTTGCCGTCTCTGTCTATGAACTGGAAATCCTTGAGGGTCTGGACTGCGTATATGTTCTCTCGGCACTGTTGGGCAACACGTTCTGAACCCGTCTTGATCAGGTACTCCATAAGAGTCATAGCCTGGTGGAAACAAAATCACAACCAATTGACCAATTGTAGAAAAGGGACTTTAATTTCCTTTTTTGGATTCAACATACATTCACATGCTTTCAGTGTGTACGTTAACACACACCGTTAGTACTAATAAATAAATTCATACATTTCATAAAACCAAAAATATTTGGAACGGGTCTGAAATCTCTCTCCAGCTTACTCATTGAATTGTCAGACAGTTAACACTCAATGGTTTACTCTGTAGTGAGTAGTTCATTGAGATGTATTCATATTTTATATTGTTGCATCGACTCAGTTGTCTTGTGTCTTATCTGTCAGAGAGAAAGCATTATTTATTTGTATTATCATACATTTGACCTCCTTGTGTCTATTAACCTGATAAAATGTTATATTTGCTTCATGTACCTTTAACGTTCTTAACAAATAAACTGAGGGGAATTTATTGTTGTTTGTTTTTAACTGGTGATGTGTCATTTTGTAAAGCACTTTGAGCTGTATGAAAAGTGCTATATAAATAATAATAATCATTATTATTTAAGACGCTTCAAAATCATCGTCATTCTGCATCATCAATGATAAATGTAGTGTGGCAAAATTCAAAACCAAATTGTATTGAAGGAAAACATAAAGTGGACATCCTATTGCCAAAATATCATCTATTCTACATTCAAACAATGCGAAAACCAATAATGTGTGTATATTATGGTATATGTACTGGTGACATATTGCCACACAATTATACCAAACAAACACAAACCTTGTACACATGTCTCCAGTTCTTGCCGTGGTCATTGAGGCGCTTCCACACCATGCTCATGATTTCCGAGAAGGCCACAACATTGTAGGTCAGATCAGCAATCTCTGACATCAGAGAGCTGCTGGGGCCCCAGGGGTCATTGGACGTCGCCTCTCTAACCTGCAGCACGGCAAAACAGCAAGGGACAAACTTCCAATCATCCTCTATCCGAACTGTCGTGAGAAGAATCACATTGAGCGAATACCTTGTAACAATTTGGGACAATGGTCCACAGTGTTCTGAGTATCAATACAAACTCAGTCACGACACAAGCCGGAAAGAGGCAGACTAATGAACGGATATATGATTAGGTTAGCTAATATTATGAATAATAACTGGAAAGAGGGAGCATGTTGCTTTGCTCGTCAGCAGCTAGTCACATGTGCTGTAGAGATAAACAGATTACATTTCAGCAAAGGACATATGGAGGATGTGGGTGTGGGAAAGAAGAAGACCAGATAAGCAGAAAGACACACAACCTTGATTTCAGCCTCTGAATAGTTGTGGACGATGTTCTTTACTTGTCGCCGTAGCGATGAGGTCGACATGGCAACGGTCTGGCCGTCGAGTCCTGCTGCAATCTGAACTGCAAATGGAGAACAGAGAGGGGTTGTAAAATATAGGTAATAAAAGCGAACAGCAACAAAGGGCAAAGAGGACTCTTATTTCAAGGAGCAAAATAGGTTTAATTAAAAGAGTCAATTCTACTTTCAAAAAAGAGGGCAAGAAGAGAAAGAGTCAGAAAGACTGGAGAGGATGTATGCAAGTACAAGTGTGTGGATAAAAGGTGGTTGTCCTTGAGAAGAACAAGAGTGTGAAAGAGGGTGTCTATAGCAGATACATCTGAAACCATGTGACTGCTGGTGTCAACAGAGGAAGTGAGAGTGAGCGTCATGCACACCTGTTACACAAGAATGATGCAGAATGAGGGTCTCTCCTCTTGCTTTCTTTTCGTTTTTCTGGCTTGTGAGCCACTCATTCACGGAGTGCTATGTCTCAGTTTGCCTTTTTCTTCCTGTGACAACATTTGGTCCCAAAACCTTGGGCGTAGGGAGATGAAAACTAAGGAGCAAGATTGAGATTATCATTAAAAAATAACCCACACATACTGAGAGATTATTACTCTATCCCAACAAACAGACTAGAACCAGCTGTAACGTTATGCTAGGTCTAACTCTATTAGAAAACATCAGGACAAAGCAGATATTCAAAATCACAGGACTTGTTGCTGAACCACACATGGCTAATAGTCAGAGATACACCATACTAGTTATATACTTTATCTTGTTTAGTAAGTCAAGTCATAAAACCCTTTTTATTCTCCAAAAGATAAGAGTGATTGCCATTAAGACACAGGAAGGGGAAATGTGTGTTGTTCCTTACACTTAAATAACATCAGTTGCCAAACCTGAATTGCAGCATTAGGACTCACAAGAAGCCGCACGTTTTAGGAATAGGACATGAAGTTCACAAGTTCAAGTACTAAATAAATATTGTATTTGTGAACAGATATTGAAATTGGAAATCTTAGGTACGCTAGATGATAACAGGATCCATTTACTTCATTTCAGGTAATTATATTCCTTATCATTAGACAGATTGAAGTCACAACAACAGTGCTGGTAAAGACAAAAAGGTCATAGAAATATTGCAATATGTGTACAGCTCCAAGATGGTATGCAAATAAGCATGCAGGGCATCTCGGAAATTAAACTTGAACCTGTAACAATACATACAGAAGGGACACTTTTTTTTTTGTTACTGATGTCAGCCATTCATAAGAGGCAGAGTATATGGTGATCACGTTATCAGCAAAACATGTGATTAACAATTGAAAAACACTGTCTGATGAAATCAAATCATGGCTTCTGTTGTGCCATTCCAGTGGGACGGTCTCAATTTGACAAAAGCATTATGAAACCATGATCCTGTCGGATGCTGGTCGTGTAAAGGAATGCAAAGAATGATTTCATGGCACAATATTAAATCCCACTGTACCCACTGAGCATTGTTTGAATTTGATTGCTTACGCAGCAGGCTGAAACACTGTTGCTGACCAGATGCATCCTTTCATTGCAGCAATCTGCATTTTCTCACCAAATAGATGATCATTTCGGGTCATGACACAAAGACACTGAGTAACCAATTCACCTACAGGCATGATTTTAGTGCCAATTTATATAAAAGCTGTATGTACTTTTTAAGAGCTAACTTCAAACATTATCTACCCTGTAATACAAATAAAAGGAAATAGTCATTATCCAGTTATCCTTCTGCCTCTTTAAAAGAATGATGAACCCTAATTATATCAGAGCTTGAGTTTAGACATGTTGTACTCTTTAAAAGCACACACAGGAGGAGCAGTTTGAGCAAGTTCAGCTAAATACATTAAAGATAACTTTCAAAGACCACTCCCTCAACTGCTATATCTCAAGAACTAAAGGCAGCAGGAAGGCAACATCTTTTTGGCTAAAGAAGATGAAAGGTTCAACCCACCCACTGCATCAATATTCCTTGAAAAAGTAAATGAGCAATGGTGGGAATTGGAAACCAAGAAACTACGCTTCTCTTCCCATTTCCCTAGCCTCAAACAGACCTTCCTGCGTACAAGTATATACTCCTCAAGAGGGAAGTATGCAGACTGACCTTAACACCATGCATCTGATGGGCATGAAAACAATTCATACCTTTGTTGATAGCAATTTAAATAATAATGTACTTCTTATCTTACATTCTTAAATACACTCTAGCTGTCTCTATGCCTATAGACTGTTTTAAACACCCACATATATAAAAGTTACATAGTAACTTAACAACAGTAACACCTTTAGGGAAGATATGCATATGTTCAGGTTTAAATATACTTTGGTAAACCAATTGTGAACCAGACACAACTTTGGTGTATACTTGTATAAGTGTTTTAAATAAGCCTGACACATATAGATTGTCTGTGTTTAGATTTGTAGGTCAGACAAATATGAGACCACATTGCACAACTGCATCTAATGCAACTATTGCAAAAGCCAGGTCAGACTCCTGAAGCTCTGTATCAAAGTTCAAACACTAACTAATCGTTGATAAGGGGCCAAATAATACGCCCTTTGTATCTCAGGTTGTATCAAATATCTCCACAATCTCAAATACTAAAGAAGGTTTCAGTAACTATGTATATGTCGTTGTTCGGAAAAACACAATCACATTATCTTCTACTTTGAATTGTCTTCTCTGCTTTACATATGGGTTTCAATGCCCACTCATGTAACCTCTGACAGGCCTGAAGAAGAAGTATACAATATATTTAAGGAAGAAATTAAGTAAAAGAAGAAAATACCAGAAAACTCTAGGTCCGCTGCAACATTCATTACATACATAAAGGCTAAAGACTTGTCTTTTTGCCTTTTATCTAATCATATTAGTATTAATGTATTTCAATGCACTGGAACATTTGTTGTTGTATGCTATACCTGTATTTTCATATTATAGCTTGTTTAACTTTTTGAGTTCTGTTCTGCTGCTCAATTTGTGAGTTATGTGTATGTGGGGTTATGTCAAACACTTTGAACTGTCCTGTTGCTGAAATGGGCTGAATAAACTTGCCTTGCCTTCAGACCAACAGAAGCCCCACTTAGATGAGTGCTAGGTTGAGCTAACACATGTTAATAATACGTTATAGGCAAATGATCCAGTACAAACAAATCGCTGTTACACTTGCATTACAATAATATAGATTTACATAAAGTGCCAACCAGGCCTGCATAACCTAAAAAAGGGAGAGTATTTAGGTATCTGTGTTCCCTAGCCCAATATCCTGAAAGGTATCTCTAATGTTCAATGTATGTTTCACTGGGGCAATATGGTGAAATCCCCCACCTACTGCTTACTGATGCTAAACTGTACGCCCTCAAATGTTCAGGCAAAGTTTTCTGGACTTTAGACATTGATATCTCCACAGTGGCTGAACACATTTTTACCATACAGGTCCAATCTCCCTTCGGAAATATAGAAATGATCCCAAACCTGAGCTTACTTAGTCCCCCTGTCACTTGTATACACTTGACGTAATCCACACCCAGTTAGCTGGCACACTGATAACGTTAACAACCGTTACCCATGTAACGTTAAGCAAGCAGTCTGTCATCTGACAGTGCTATCTCTCCAGCAAGCGTTAACTTAGTGTTAGACAGAGTGGGGACCATGACATTATACAACACTGTTACCAAAAGCATTGTGAGCATTATCTGTGTCAGAAAAATATGTATGCGAAAGACAAGTTTACGCGCAATTACTAAAGCTGATAAGGCAATAAACATTGTCCTACATGTCATTTAACTGTTAGCTTATATTATCCACTTAGCCGGCAAACTCTTCCATTCTCACACCTTTCGAAACAGTTAGCTAGCACTTTGACACCAGAGGTTTGGGTAAAGTCTGAGTAAAGTGTAGATAGAGGTACAGAAGGGTGTAGGGTGTTTTTGTACGAGTTGGCAGACAAACTAACGCGAAATTAAAGGTGATATTCTTCACACAACCGTGAATCACTACACACTAGGAAGGGGCGGTTAGTGTACCTGCCAGCTTCACTGATAAAATAAATCACTTGCTGCTGCTGCTGCTAGAAAAGATTAGCCAGCTAATAAGCTAGCAGTTAGCTAGCTAGCTGCTGCTAGAGAGTTCGCAACATGATTGCTAGACTGTACAAGCTTTAATCAAGGACACGTTCTGCTGTGGGACAGTGTTTGATATACACGTTCAAATCACAAGCCGAAACGCCAAAAAATACTGACAACAGACCAAAATAAAAAAACAAATCAAGTGTGTACTGACCCTGTTGTAGCTTGAATGTACGAGGAGATGGCCGAATTTCCGCTTCCGTTCTCGGCTACAGGAAAGACCGCACCCCCTGTAGCTTTGTTTTCCTTGGATGGTAGTAGACTCATTCATAATTTATTGATTTTTTTAAATGCCAGAATTGTTGTTCTAAATGAAATTAATACAACATTAAAGTTTGGTTAATTTTCTATATATTTTTTTAATTATTTTTATTTAATTATTTTTATTTGAACGATTTTATAACTGTTTTCCTATTCAAGAAAATAAGACATCCCGTTAAACAAGACCTACAAATTAATTACCAGACTATCTAAACGATATCCTTTGCAGCACCGCAAGAGTTTATAGATGAACATAAGCATTTTCAGTAGTAGGCCTACTCCAATATAATACCACGATGGAGTGAGTCTCAAATATAAAGTAAAAATGGCAATCAGTCAGTGTGCATTCTGCAGGGTTGCTTATTCCTATCAAAATCAGAATCAGAATTAGTTCTAATTTATCCCAATGGGGATAACAACAACAATGTATTAAAGAGGAAATCTGTTTAATAAATTATTCCAAGAAGAGACAGGGAAGTGACTTTTGGATGACCTAATCTACTATCTATGTATGGGAAATAAATCACATCCATTTTCATGTGTGTTTAAAAAAGTGTTTAAGGCCCTATAATACTAAAAACCGACCTTTTTCTGCTTTTATCAATTCTTTATTGTCTATAAATGTGCAATTATTTTTATTTAAAGCCTTAACAAATACGTTTATTCCATTAAGTCAACCTAAACCAATGTGGTTCATCATGATATAGAATTTTAATAAAATCTTAAGTATACCATCATTGTAACCATCATCATAATCCTGACATTTTTTGACATTAAGTGTTATATAACAGCTGAAAATACGAAACAGAAAATGTCAACATTTTATTTAAAATTATTAACACATCATATTTCCTTACAAAGAGACTCTCAATATCACTCCTCATCAAACAATAGTCTGCTTGTTGAAGGCTCAGTGGCAAGACACATGACCCTTCTGCTGATTGATTATCTTCAGTTTTGAAACTTAAATCTGCAACAAACCACGTCATATTAAGAGCTAATTGACCGGCATATAATTCACATTTAAAATTAAGCCTGCAGAGCCTTAATTAAAGAAAGACAAATCTGGAAATCCAAAACCACTCTCTAAATGTCATTAATAAGTAATTTAATGTAATGCACTGTGTGGTTTTCTCCTCAGTAATGTAATGGCATACTTTCACCACATAGAGGCATTATTGCACTAACTCTCACATCAAATGAAACCATAACAGTTTCCAATAGCTTTTCCTGTCAGTGGTTCCATAAAAAGAACACAGCAAGAACAACAGAGTAACAGCTGGGGGGCACTGGTGTTACAAACTCCCCTTTTATCTTCCATCCCTTTATCCTTTTGTCTTTTCCTTCTCCCAAGGGAGGGGGGACTGAAGGCAACTTTGCAGCAAACTATAACTGTTCACTGTTGCACTGCTTTGGAAACATTAATCTCTTGAAGACAAACCAACAAATGCAGGCGATTAGAAGAAGCATCAAATCTATTTTAACATGTGTGATGCCATAGAGAAACTTTATACAGGATACCCTTTATGCCCACTGCCACTACTCCGTCCGTTTGAGAGAATATAAAAGCTATCTGCAAGTAATCTATACATTTATGTTATTTTAATCATTTATGTGAGTTTGTGGATGAAAGATAAATTCATTAGTTTGCTCAAAGAGAAAAGATGACAATAACAAAACAGAATGATCCACAAATTAACTAAATATGAGTACACCCTTCAAAGACAAATCTAATTTGGCGCTGATATGGTCCAGATAATGCACATGGCTACATATTATCTTCATACTAAAACAACAACCACAACATCATGTCTCCCAGAAGAGTGCTTTTTAATAAATTCCATGTTATCTTCACAGACGATTCATTATTTTTTTGTGATTAAGGGCTGGGGTCAATATCAATTAAGAGGATATTGTCTTTTTTCCTGGTTTTAAAGGCTGCATCACAGTTAAGTGATGTAATTTTCTGAACATCCCCACTCTATTCTAGCTTTTCTATTATTGCCTTTCCCCACATGGTCTTTTAATCCAGTTTATTGAGGATTATTCATTGAAAAAATTACATTGTGTAAATCACAAACACAAGCATTGGTGTTAAGCCCCGGTATACGTAAAATATAATTTGACGTTGTTCTTGTAGTAAATGTTATCAAATGCAGGAACAATTCAATATTACAGTAATATATTTATTTAGACCAATTCCCATTGTCTGAACTCTTGAAAATGTTCCCAACATTCCCGCATGTTTGGTGCTGTAAAGTCCTTCTTCCTCATTTTAAATCAGTTATTTCAGTAATTGCACCACTTTCACAACCCATACCAGGACATGTAAACATTACAAGACCTGTGCACAAATAGGCCTAGTATATTTAGGTAATGAAAAACAAATATGAATGTTTAAATTATGTCTTTGTTTTTTTTTTTAAACAAGCAAATGAGAAGACCAAAATATGTCAGTCTTCTCAAATCCTCTTTTTGTTCACCATTATACGACATACACAGTATACACAGTACATCTAAAGTGCAGGAGTTGAAAGAGATGACAATCTCATCTGTCATGTAAGCATTAACAATTTCCTTTTTTAGATGTCAAAAGCACTCAAAAAGATGGAAGTGTAACCGAATAGGAAAGACGTTTGTTATGTAACTTGCCAGTCATGTCAGTCAGCACAGCTGTCCTGGGTGATGCATATGTTCAAGACCATCCATTAATAGTGGAATGTGTCAGCTTTATGTCCATACATTTGTGAATGAAAGTGACAGTCTCTTGGCATCAAATTGATTAGAGCAATACAAGTGTTGTTTTGGTGGTGGAGGGGTTGTCACAGCAGGGGCCACAGGACCCTATGGAGCGAGCACAAACTCCAAATGGACGTATTGTGGTCAGCCACATGACCCCGCAGTGGTAGTAACCTGAGCAGGGCCCAGTCGTTGTGATAGCAGCCAGTGTTTGTGTTACATAACAAACAACCATTGAGCCAGTGGCAATAATAGTCCTGTATGTAGTACCAAGGGAAATCAATCTGAGTAGACTGAAAGAGGAGGAGGGTGTCAGGGCCATAGGAGCTGAACAGGTCTGATCTGCAGCTGTAGGAAACAGAACTGGCATGTAGACGTCAATGTACAGAACCAACGTGTTTAACAAGACAAGGTTTCAGCTGTTAGCAATGTCTCTAAGTGATCGTAAGCCATACTGTGTACTTTAGAGATAAAGCGAGATGTGTGAGAGTTGAAAGATTGAAACCTGAAAGAACCTTGAGAATGTTCTTCACTGTGGTCTCAAGAGGCTTTCATTTTGAAATCAAACAAATATTCGTATGCCTCCTGCAGAGATGGGAGGGAATGGTAAAATAAGAAAAGGACAGTAGGCCTAATATTGAACAATAACATGGTATGCGTAACTGTACCCAATAATCCCAGTGACATTCAGGGATCAGGGGTACAGCTTGTTGGCCTATTCCGATCATTCCAGCATACCTGCTGATTAAAAGAGGGATCCTACACTGAGGGTGGAATTTCTGACTCAGACTGACTGAGAGGGTGAGAAAGAGCGAGACATGGAAAGATGAGGAGAGGAGGAGAAGGAGGAAGTGTGTATGTATAGTGAGTGACAGCTGAGAAGAGATTGGGGAGGAGAGCGATGGGTTAATGTGGTCAGGCGGACTGACAGATTGAGAACGGTAGGATTTTAACACGGCTGTGGAGTGGGAGAGAGAGGTAGCACGTGGGAGAGGGAGGGAAGTTTGAAATGCCTTGTAGGTGGTGCACACGTATCTGCCAGCATAACAGGAGAGGCAGCGCGAGAGAGAGAGAGACAGAGAGGGTACTGACACCACGAGAGTAGGAAAAGAGAGGGAGAGTCCAGTGTGTGTCTCCTGGGGAGAAGCACGTAACCAATATCCAGGTCTCCAGTAAACATATAGCAGCCTCCTCTACACAGCTTCTCTGCTACTGCATCGACCAAGGGGGCAAAGGCAGAAATATCAGCTTCAATTCCAATTTAATTATCAGTCTAGCAGAGGGCACACACTTGAGCTACAACAGCAGCTGATTGCATTGGCAGCACTTTGATAGGAGTCTATAGATGCTGAAAAAAGACACAACAAAGTGAGCAGAGATCCACCAACTGAACAGAAAATGACAGTAAGTATTGCACTTTATTCCTGTAAGGATGCATCAGCTGCAAACATTAAATGCACACCAAGTGATAATCTTGAATTCATTAAATTGTGTTTAAAAAAACAAATAATGGCAATAGAAACATGCATAAATGCAATTGTTTATTGTGTGTGCCACGGCAATTAAAACAAAAAAGTATTGTATAAGTGTGTTTTTGCATCTGACATGCATGAATGGTATAAATGCATTTGTGGCTTCTTATTGTAAAATGACTGGGAGGCTGGAAAAGTTTAATTGTCAGTGTCGTTGAGAGGATTTTCAGCTTGTTATGCAGAGCACTTGTAGTGGACTTCAAATGTGTTAATGACGTTAGCTCAAGCAGAGCCCCTTTTAAAATCTCAGATCCCCATGGCTTGATACCAAGGGCAATTAACTACAGTAATACGGTTTGATAAATAATCACCTCACTGCACAAGGACATGCTTCTGGTGCTACACGTGTTTAAGATGCATCTGTGGTGATTTATGTATCAGAGCAACTAAATATAACGGTCCAAATGTGAGCTGCATTAAACTTAGTTGCAATTCTCCAAACAAAATAAATGATGGCATTAGTGGACTGACAAACATCTGAAGAATGTAATCCTGCAATAACCCTGATATGTGTTTACAACTTCGTGGACATATCCCAAGTAAGGATTGAGTTCAGGAACTTAACACTGAGCTTTGAGTCCAAAAGTGTGAAGTTTGCATAAATTAGGCTATAAAGACTTGGTGGCACAGAAGACGGCTACTGTGTATTGAGCTCCTCCTCACTATACGCATAAAGA